GGCGGCCCCGTAGCGCAGGAGATTTGGGGCTTGTGGCCCCACCTGGCTGGAAAAGGCCCAGACGGCGTGCTCCTGAGCAGCTGAAGGAGCAAGGTCCTGTGCGTAGCTGCAGAGATGCTCGGGAGAGGACTGCTTCAGATACCCTCTGGCCACAGCCAGCTCAGAGCACTTCTCTACCTCCAGCATGTCAGTGCTGCCCACGCCCTGTGGGGACCCTGCACAGCCTGAGAAGGTCACCCCCTTGGCTGGGTCCTGCCTTGGCTCCACTGTACCCTTGGACTGCTGCAGGTACCCACGGAACTCCACGTCTTGCTGGCTGTCCTGGCCGGTGGCAGGGGAGCAGCCGAGCTCCCCTCCATGGGACTGGCTGGCCTTCGTGACACTGGCATTCCCGCTACCGGAGGAGCGCGCAGGGTGAGGGCAGGTGCTCTTGAAGCCCACGCCACTGTCATCGCCAATGGGCAGCTGCTGCCTGTAGCCCTGGGGCTCGAGGCCCGAGGAGCAGCTTAGTGCAGAGGAGGAGGTGTGCAGGCAAATGCCGCTGTCGGTGCTGGTGCAGCTGCTGTCTCTGCTTCCCATGGGCCCCAGCAGGCACACTCGATCCTCAGGCCATGATGGGAGCCTCCAGTCCTTCTCCAGGGGCAACTGGGCTGTGCTGGTGCTGCTGTTGGGGTTCTGGTCCTGCTGGGACGCCTTCTGGCAGAGGAACAGCTGCTGGATGGGGTCTGCGTCCAGGCTGCCTGAGGGCAAGGACTCCTGCTCCATCCAGAGCGAGCTCTGCTTTATGAAAGACTTCTGGGGTGGAAAGAAAAGAGGAGAATGAGCTGTGCTTCATCCCTGCCTGCTGCCCACCCCTCCCAAGAGCACCCTTGCACCAGCTGCAAAGGGTGCCACGTGCCCGGCTGCCTTACCAGGACGGAGGGTGGCCTCACAGGTTTCTTTATGTAGGTGCACACCAGCAGAAGCCCCAGGAGGCCCAGGAGCAGCAGGGTGATGAAGGAGCAGGCGATGCTCGGGACAAGCTCTGCGCTGCCTGTGAGAGGGAGTGTGTCCAGGTGAGGGGGGAAAGGCTGAGTCCTTGGTGCTCGCAGCACAAGGGCCCTGCAGTGGGGACGCAGATCGGGGGCTGTGGAGGCCAGGAGGCTGAGGGGGATCTGCATCCTGCCTGGCCCTCCTTCCCCCCCACTTACTGTTCCTCTTGCCGATGGTGACGCACCGCTCCTCGGTGCGCGTGGTGCGAGTGTGCCGGGTGGCCACGTCGGGCTCCACGCTGACGCAGTACTCTGTGTCCCAGAAGAGGTTGCTGATGTTGAACTCCGGGGCAGTCTCGAGCATTTCATACTGCAATGGCCAGAGAGCGGGCTGGTACCCGAGAGCCCCCAGCTCCCGCAGGAGTGCTGGGGGGGCCTGTGCTTTCCTCCCTCCTCCTCCACTCTCCCCTGGGGGAAGTCTCTACAGCTGAGAGCAGCTAGAGCAAAAATCCTGATGAGAGTTGGGGAACTCGCTACAACAAAGCCTGCAGAGAAACCTCTCTGTAATGCGGTGGCTGTGAGAAAGCTCCATATGAAGTTTTGCAGAAGGCTACTTTAGAAACGTGTTTTTCAAATTGAGCGGTGCCACATGAGACAAAGCGGGACAGCACAGGACCAGCAACTCATCTCACCGTCCGATTGTCCTGTGCCCTCCTGATGTACACCCGGTATCGCCTCGCGTGCTTCTGTATGTCGTCGTATTTCACAGTGAGGTTCCCCACCCTGAGGAGCAGCTGCAGCTGAACATGGATGATGTTGCCGGTCACAGAAAGGCTCTGGCCTGACAGGCGCAGGCTGGCTGGAAGCGAGTCAGGCGGAAGAAGATATCAGGATTTTTCTCCTGTTTGCAGCTCTAAGAGCCTTTGTAGCAGTGGACTGAGCTGAGAGTGTTCAGCACAGCTAGTGCCACCTGTCCGGGGCTCGTCCTATCTCCTCCCACAGCCCAGCTGCCCTCCAGGAAAAGAAAGACATCCCTGCTCTCATCTGCCCAAAGCTCTTCCCGAGAAGTTTGGCACCCTGACTTCTGCCACCCTCGAAGCCTCCCCTCCCCAGCCCTGAAGCGGCGGCAGATACCTGACTTACCTTCCTGTGGAGAGAAGGAGTTGGTCCTCTGCCACGGGGACACGTGAGTACCGGACACGGCCCTGACCCGTGCATAGTAGCGTCGGGTAGGTTCCAGGGTGTAGTATGTGAGGTCACAGGAGTGCCCTGTGATGTTCATGCAGTTTGGGATGGCTGTCCACGGGAGATTCATGCCGTAGCTGTGGGGAGAAGCACCTGGGTGAGAGCAGCACAGGCAGGTGCCGGGGACTCTGGTGTCACCACTGTCGGTATCAG